GATAGGTGAACGGGTATTTTAGCCTTCTGTGAATATCACTTAGGTGCAAATATAGCCTTTGTCATCAGAGTGAAATATCATATTATGACTAGGTCTCTGAACAAATTTGTTGAATTTATTTTATTTTGTATTTTGAAGTTGCTTTTAATATGAATGTTGGAATATAAGGGTCCTAGTAATTAGATTACCACCGAGTACCAAAAAAAGATATGAGAAAATTACTTCCATTAGGTTCAAAAGGATTTATTGAGATCCTAAAATATCATACTTGCCAAAGGGGAGAATTGTCTTCCAAAATCATTTTTCTTTTTTAAATTTGGGTGTCCAAAGCCACTGCACTTACTACAATTAATAAAATTATCTGGCAAGGCATAAGAGTGTTCTTGCTTCAGACTGCAAACACTTTCCCCTGAAGACTTGGAATGACACTAAATTAATATGAGGGAGGAAAGAAAGAATTAATTAGTATTTGATAGTGGAACATTGGATGTTGATTAATTAGTCACAACCAACACTAGCTGAGCTTCCTTTATAAACCTCAAACCATATCCTTCCCGGGTTTGTTCTCATTGCCACCATAAATTGTCCATATACTCACTGATGGTAATCTGTCACAAACAAACATAAGGGGCTCTTAGTCAAATGGTGACATATATGTGAGTGTATAAACTTTCTCTTATTAACATTACCCAAGGAATATACCATCTATGGTGAAAATTGCATCAGCAAAGAAAAAGGAAGGACGATGTACCCACAAGCAAATGCAAATGGAAACAAAAGCAGGTATCACAATCTCTGTAGAGAAAAGAGTGTTCAAGCCAACACATTATTTAAACAATGAAGACCGTGTTTTTTGACAAATGTTAAAATTTGCATGATCTTGCATTTTGCTTCTTACGTTGCTGATTTTATAATTCTGGTTAAAGCTGGCCTGAATGTATTCAGTTTATTTGTAATATCCTAGTACTTTAATGCATTTTTTGGAGGAATGAGTAATATTATTTTTCACAGATGAAGAAGGAACGGGTAGTGAGTCAAGACGCACTGAAGCAAAATAATAGTAAAAGTTATTATTACCAAAAAAAGTTAAATAAAACTTCTAGTTGTTAAATATTGTAAAATACTCAGTTAATGGTTGGATAAATGGGAAATCAAAACTGTAAAAAATATAAGCAATCAGGACTCTATAATTTTGTGCAGCAAACCAACAACAACAACAAACTTATGGCCCTAAAACTTTCTATTATTGAGAAAGAATGAAAGAAACAAAATCAAGTAAGTGTTTAGTTGAAGGGATTAGAAAATCAGAAAAAAAATGTTATAAATTACAACATTAGTGAAATTATAGTATAAAAGCTAAGATACATAAACACAGCCAAGAATTCATGTTTTAAATAATAACATGATATGCGTATATTCCAGACTGGAGAGAAAGACACCAAAAATGTCACGTGTGACTTTCTTTGGGCACAGAGATTAATGGCAATTTCAAATTTTGTTTTATTTTCCAATTTCTTTTTTCATTGGGTGTGAATTTATTAATCAGAATACGTTAACTGTTAAAACATGAAAAAGTTAAGTGTTAGGATCATTTATCCTGAATCTTTAGGAAACTTTAAAAATTGATTCTTTGAAAATTATTTGAAATTACAGAGTTTGCAATGATTAACATCCTCTTTCCTATTCTGTACTATAAGCACTAATATAAGGAGATCACCTTCTGGTTTTGTTATATTGGACCCTGCGGTTGCTTCTTCAATATCCATTTCTTTTTGATACCTATTCCAATTTACGCTAGAGTTTCCACATTCTTTAACACCAGTTCTGAGTAGTCCATTTGCTTCAGAGAACCTGGTTGAAACATTGCTTCTAGGCATGAGGTATCTAGTTTAAGTTTAAACTGTTTATCAACTTAATACCTGACTGGGCCTGGTGGCTCAAGCCTGTAATCCCAGTACTTTGGAAGGCCAATGCGGGTGGATCACTTGAGGTAAGGATTTGGAGACCAGCCTGGCCAACATGGCGAAACCCTGTCTCTACTAAAAATACAAAAGTTATCTGGGTTTGATATCGCGTGCCTGTAATCTCAGCTGCTCGGGAGGCTGAGGCAGGAGAATCACTTGAACCTGGGAGGTAGAGGTTGCAGTGAGCCGAGATCGCACCACTGCACTCCAACCTGGGTGACGGAGAAAGACTCCGTCCAAAACAAACAAACAAACAAAAACCAACATAGTACACACGTCTCCCATTAATGGCCCAAACGGACACAGGGGATTTGGATCAACGAGAAGGAGCAAAGATCTTCCTAGGCATTTGGTGGGGAAAAATATTAACGATTTCTTAGAGCATCTGAAAACAAATAAAGAAATAAAGCCTCCTGCCTTTCTTCTCTCTCTGCCTCTGTATCTCCATCTCCTTCTTCTCCATAGATGAGGAAGCCTGCAGCCCCTGAAGGTCATGGGTGCTGTCGGAGACACAAGGAAAGCCATCAGCCCAGGGAGATGCTGAGGGTTGGGGCATCTCCATGGATGAGCTCCATGTACTGCTGGACTCATCCAACCTTTCGTGGACATCACCTTGTAGTGAAAATCCCTTTTGTTATTGAAGAAAGCCTGAGTTGGGTGATTTATTACTCATAAAGTATTTTAATACATTGATGCTAATATTCTCATGAGACAATTATACTATACTCTTAAGATAGCATTAAAAGTAGTTTAAAGACCCCACCCTTCTCCAAATAAAACCAACACTTGTGAAACCCTTGCTTTGCCATTTACTATCTATGTCCCTGGACAAACTATTAAATGTGACAAGTCTACACCTCCACCTCAGTTTAGGATCAATAATGTATGTCTTTTTTTTCTTTTTTCAGTTTCAATACATAAAAATAAGTGCCATGAGTAGTTCTTGTAACCGAATGGGCACTCAAAAGTGAAATTAGGCCCTTCATTTCTCCTGCTTTCTTATCGTACATCTTTATGATACTTTAATTTGAGCTACAACCCCTGAGATCTTCTTGAGAGATAATCACTGCTGAGGGAGGATACACAGACAGGACAATAGACAGATCACATGTGACGACAGAGCACTTACCCACAACCTCTGCAGCAATTGCTCCCAGACAATGGGGACTTAGTGAATAACTGCTACCTGCCCTATTTATGTCCCCAACCCAGGAACAGCAGATAAATCCAATATGCTTCTCTAATACTCACATAGTTCTCTTTCTTTTATTTTTAATTTTTATTATGATCTTCTACAACTGAAAAATCAGCTAACAATCATAGGTGTGCATCCATCAATGCTTCCAATTTATAATCATTCTTGTATTAAGAATTTTAATCTTTCGTTTTCCTGTGGTTGATTTTTCCCCTCAGGTTCTGCAAACACATTTGTTGCATAAAATTGCACCTCTGAGAAATTCCAGCACACTGGCATAGTGTTCTGGACTCTCGCTGTGGTATTACTGCCAGTAGTATGCTTCCTTATTAAAAAATGTAGAGGCTCACTTGCAGCAAGTTTGATAGCAGGATGATAAAATGGCAGGATATTTTTAAACACAGATTTTATGAGATGTATTACATGGAATTAAATTTAGACCATACATCAAGGAAATCGCCATAGAGCTTTGAGCGTGATTCAGATTATCCTGGCATTAGTTGGAACACTCTGTTGGCTCAACAATGTAATTGCCTGAGTGGGAAATGAATGCTCTGGTCTATGCGGGCACCATCGGGTTGGCTTGCTGGTCACAGCATCCTCCCCCCACAAGATGTCTTATCTGGAAGGGTCTGTAGGGCAGCAATTGGTGGAAATACACAGCAGAAGACGATTAGGACTCTTTCTCCAACACACTCCTCCTCCTCAGTACACATCCTCTGCTCCTGATGATGGCACGAACATCAGGGATTTGACAGGACACACTCAAGAAACTGTTTTTTGTTTCTTTGTTTTTCTTCTCTTTCTTTCTTTTTTTTTTTTTTTTTAGTTTGTTTTTGGTAGGATCAATCTAAATGTGTGGTTATTTTGATGGTTAATACTGAATGTCAACTTGACCGAAGGATGCAAAGTGTTGTTCCTGGGTGTGTCTGTCAGGGTGTTACTGAAGGAGATTAACGTTTGAGTCAGTGAACTGGGAGAGGCAGACCCACCCTCAATCTGGGTGGGCACCATCTAATCAGCTGCTAGGGCCACTGGAATAAAAGCAGGCAGAAGAACATGAAGAACTGGACCGGGTGAGTCTTCCCGCCTCCATCTTTCTCTCATGCTGGTTGCTTCCTGCCCTTGAGTATCAAACTCCAAGTTCTTCGGTTTTGGGACCCTTAGACCTTTAACCACAGACTGAAGGCTGCACCATCGGCTTCCGTACTTTTGAGGTTTTGGGACTTGGACTGACTTTCTTGCTTCTCAGCTTCAGATAGCCTATTGTAGGACTTCACCTTGTGATCGTGTGAGTCAATACTCCTTAATGAACTCTTCCTCATATATACATCTATCCTGTTCATTCTGTCCATCCAGAGAACCCTAATACAGTTACACTACTGGTCCTCATTTGGGATTCTGTATGTAAACCTCAGAATAAATTCAACAAAATTTGTTGAATATTCCCTTTGGTGACTTCACATCTTTGCAGAGGGGAGTTTGGTGGTTGCTGTGTTAAAACTATGTATCACGAAATCAACGTGCATCAAGAAATAAGGATCGAGAAGTCATGCAGTGCCCAGCAGGTGAACATCTCCCATTATTGAATAATTATGACTACTTAACAATAAAACTGAATGCTAGTTTTCTTTCAACCGATGTTATGTGTATTCTTTTTCAAGGATGCCCTAAGTGGTTAGGATAGAAACACTTAAATTTCTTTTGGAGTTGGCAACTTAATAAATGTAATCCGTCATGTATTTATTTTGGAGCACTGTGGAAATATTGCTGCAATAGTAAAGCCGCTGTGGGAACTAAGAAACCTTATGAATCTGTCCCTATTTAACTAGACCAGGGATTTGGACTTAAGCCAATGGGGACTCTTCTGACCAGCATCTACAGTGGGTCAGCTATGAGATCCCAGTCCACTGGGGAAGCAGGCTGGTAAAACCAATCCACCTCTCCCAATGGGATAGTTAGTGTGAAACACAGAAGACCCAGTAGTAGAATGGCTCTGGGTAGACAGGAGTTAAAAATCATGGTGGAGAAACCAGGATGCTGTGTCTGTTTGGATTGAAACCCTGCATACCTGATACCTTCAGGTCTGAGTGCCACCAAGAGGGCGCCGGTCACTGCACCTTGGGACAGGCCAGTCAGAAGAGGGGCAGACACTGAGGAAGGCTGACTCCTTGTAGCAGCCTACTCAGGCTGCTTCGTTAGAACTGTCTTTTAGTCTGAGTGCAAATGAGCAACGCCACAGTTTCAGCCCTTGAACATGTTTTTTTTATGTTTCTTTATAAATCTTAGCATCCTTACTCTACCTTCCCCAATATGCACATCCGCTGTAGTCTATGTGATTTTTACCTTTGCATTCAAAAGAGAATAATCAGCTTATTAGCATCTATTATGTGCCGTTTGTCTTATTGGTTGTTTTACATGTACTTTTAATTTCCCAAATATTACTTTATGTTGGCCAGGAGTGCTATTTTATAGAAAATCCACAATAGGAGGCACATACAAGTTTCCCTTTATTGCATAAGATGACAACATATGGCAGGTTGTATATTTTCTGAACTGTACAAATTCTGTCTTCTTATTTTAAACACAAGAAAGAAATGAATTCTATTAAAAGTAAAATGAGAAAGCCAAGATCATATATAGCGAGCCACATCATCATAATTTAGGCGTACTCTTTTGATGGCGAACACTGATGTTCCATTCTACTGTGAGGGTAAAAGTGCTGACTGAGTTATCCCAAGTGGAGCCTGCATAATTGTCAGCAACTCCAGCTCCTTGACAAAATGTAACTCATCGTGGATATTAGTTTAGTATTTATTCCATGTGTCTTAATAGCCCAGTAAGACTTCATGCTATAAATTAACTTTTTAATTGTAAAGCAAATCAAGATATTCATCATAAGAGATATTTTCTCAGCATGGTTCCTGAAGAGTTAACTGCTGAACTATATCTTCAGACCCAAGGAGATGTACCAAAGAAAATATCAGCTAAGTGCCTGTATTTTATACATTTATCAATTTTAATGATACTCTGTCATTTAAAAAGTATGTATTTTAGAAAATATCAGTTTCAAGGATAGTGAAATGACCACTGATATCATCATTCTGATCTTTTTGCCAGGTTACTTATCATCGGCTTCATTTTGTCTTTATGGAGTCTCTGTACCCTTAAGGGAGGTTATTTTTCTTTGGAAAATTCATTGTCTCCTTGTAGAATGTATGATCTGTTGTATGGTTGAAGCCTGGTATTCACTGACCCGACGTCATTAGTGATTAATGATAGTCAGCTCTGAGAACATTGGTTTTACTCATTTGATTCTTATGCTGTTTGTGTAATTCCAATTGTGTGTCCTGAGGGAATGGGATATGAAGTCTGTCTGAACACTTATGAAGACATAAATAGATACATATGTTCCTGCAGAACGGTTTTCATTTATGTTGGCTTGGGTGTGTGTGTGTGTGCGCATATATATATATATATATATATATATATATATATATATGACATCCATCTACTATCTCATCTATTAACAGGAATATTCTGTAATATATCTTTCTCACATAGGCAGCTGCACTTACATGTGTTTTCATTCTGTGAATATATAGCTTAATTCTTTAAAATGTCTCAGGTTTTTGCATTGTCAGAATACTACAAGACTCATGCAATTTACATCACATCTAAGAAATGCATTTTCCAGCGTGCACTCAAGATGAATTTGCAGCTCAGCCTGTGGCAGCGTACACACTAATCACGCCCCTCCTCTTCAGGTCAGTTCCACATGGTGCAGAGGGTCACTATTTATAGTATGCTACTGTAGGTTGGTCACATTTTCTTCTTTATTGATTTATTTGTTTTATTTCTGAAAAGACTGGCCTAAAATGAAAACTTGCTGATAATTTAAATGTAGTACATGCTGGGTGGTCATTTAGGAGGATAGCAGCTTTTCAATCAAAGCATTTATATGAATTTACAGTTTCAATGACATGGTTTATTTGAAAAGCGTTTGTAGAATGACTTCTTTGTGCAAAGCAGCATGGAAGTGTGGCTTAGAAAAGGAACAAAACCTAAAACTTGCTCTCAAGAGATATTATAATTCATTGGGAAAACTTACAGATTTTAAGTATATATGTATATATATGTGTGTATATATATATTCACACCACACACACACA